GAGCAAAGAGTGACCCAACAGCTTATAAGTCATGCGATTTCCGATCGAGAAACGGCAAGCATGTTTACGATAAAGGCTGCAAAGACCAGGGCCTATGAACAAGGCCTCCATGAGGGCCGAAAAATTGGGATACAAAAGGCTAAGGAAAAACTCGCCAAGGAGGTCTATCGATGCGAGAATCGTGGCTTTAAGCACGGGTGGATCAAGGCTCTCCAGGCTGCGGAGGCTCTTCGTGCAGCAGACGTTGATTCAGCGTCACCATTATATCAGGGTCACAATTTTCCCTTCGCGACTTTCGAAGTGGAGAAGAGTGACGATGAAGGTGGTACCGAATAAAATTGAACACATTGTACCTTTTTAACGCAAATTGGATACGAATTATGTATTTACAATCAATTTAATGAAACATATTATTTGAAATGTTTGTAAGTTATTTCAGTCAATGTTTACAAATTAAGCTATGATCATCTACCATTGTATGTCAATTGCGTTGGCGCTTATCAATCACAATGCTCATGAAAGGAGCTCCAAATTCAGATGCTCGTTCGTGCCAAACGTGTTTTCCACGAAGGGCACTCTGAATTTGGAGGTTTTTTGCCTTGGCTAAAAGTCATTTCCATGAAGGACGCTCCGAATTTGGAGGCTTATTCAGCCCAACCGTGATCTCCATGAAGGGCGCTACGAATTCGGAGGCTTTTTGCCTTGGCCAAACGTGATTTCCACGAAGGGCACTCCGAATTCGGAGGCTTATTCGGCCCAACTGTGTTTTCCACGAAGGGCGCTCCGAATTCGGAGATTGTGTCTTGGCCAATCGTGTTTTCCACGAAGGGCGCTCCGAATTTGGAGGCTTTTTGCCTTGGCCAAATGTGATTTCCACAAAGGGCGCTCTGAATTTGAAGGCTTTTTGCCTTGGCCAAACGTGATTTCCACGAAGGGCGCTCCGAATTTGGAGGCTTTTTGCCTTGGCCAAATGTGATTTCCATGAAGGGCGCTCTGAATTTGGAGGCTTTTTGCCTTGGCCAAACGTGATTTCCATGAAGGGCGCTCCGAATTTGGAGGCTTGTTCGGCCCAACCGTGTTTTCCACGAAGGGCACTCCGAATTCAGAGGCTTTGTGTCTTGGCCAATCGTGTTTCCACGAAAGGCGCTCCGAATTTGGAAGCTTATTCGGCCCAACTGTGATTTCCACGAAGGGCGCTCCGAATTTAGAGACTTTTTGCCTTGGCCAACCGTGTTTTCCACGAAGGGCGCTCCGAATTCGGAGGCTTATTCGGCCCAACCGTGATTTCCATGACGGGCGCTCCGAATTCGGAGGCTTTTTGCCTTGGCCAACCGTGTTTTCCACGAAGGGCACTCCAAATTCGGAGGCTTTTTATCTTGGCCAATCGTGATTTCCACGAAAGGCACTCCAAATTTGGAGGCTTATTTTGCCCAACTTTGATTTCCACGAAAGGCGCACCGAATTTGGAAGCTTATTCACAACACCAGAACTCGTTGGACAACAAGACATTATATTAGAAAAAAGAAAGATATACACGGCTTAAAATCAAAACAAGCTGTCGTGCCGTACAAGTTAATGATAAAATTTGCGCAAGTGTGTGGAATTCCATAGGCGCAGCAAGCTTCTTCCATACATGTCTTTGAGCCAATATGCCCCTGTCCCGGCGATTGAATCAATCTGATAGGGGCCGTCCTAGTCGGGACCCAATTTTCCGTCAGCCAAATTTCTAGCAGTGGGGAGCACTTTCTTGAAGACCAACTCTCTTGGTGTATAATGGCGCAGCTGAACACGTTGATTATACAGCTTAGCGAGCTGTTGCTGGTACCGTGCCATGGATGCAAGGGCACGGTCTTGGCGTTCTTCAATCAAGGTCAAGTCCAAAGCCAACATCATGTCATTTCGGTCCATATCAAAAACTTTTAATTTCAACGTTGGGAGGCCGATCTCCAGGAGGATGATTGTTTGGGTTTCGAAGCATAGAGCAAACGGCATTTCCCTAGTGGATCGCCTCAGAGTAGTGCGATGAGCCCACAACACACTGGGCAACTCTTCGACCCATTTGCCTTTAGCTTTCTCTAGCTTTTTCTTGATGCTGTCCAAAATAACCTTGTTGGTGGCCCCCGCTCGACCATTGCTCTAGGGGTAAGCCAGTGAGGAAAAGTAGGGCCGGATACCATAGGTGTCGCACAATTCTCGATATACGCCACAATCAAATTGGGTACCGTTGTTAGAAACAAGTGCTCATGGTATGCTGAATCTTGTTATGATGTTTTCCCATACAAAACGCTTGACATCGGAATCTCAAATATGTGTTAGTGCCTCCGCTTCGACCCATTTTGTAAAATAATTTGTCGTAACAATTAGGAATCGCCTGTTGCCTGTGTCCCGTGGTAACGGTCCAACAATATCAAGGCCCCATTGAGAAAACGGCCAAGGGCTAGTGATAGAATTTAACTCCTCGGCTGGCAAGTGAGTTAAAGGGGAAAACTTCTGGCATTGACCACATTTCTTGACATAACACTCGGCGTCAGTTCGCATAGTCGGCCAATAGTACCCCTGTAATACGGCACGATGAGCCAGAGAACGTCTGCCCGAATAGGCTCCACAACTGCCTTCATGTATTTAAGATAAAAGTTCCTTAACTTTATCTGGGTGAACACACTCTAAATACGGCCCGGAGAGAAATTTTTTGTAGAGCTTCCCCTGCGGATCCAAATAGTATCGAAGGGCTTTGTTTCGGAGTTTGTGTGATCTTTCTTATCCATCAGGAGCTGTTCTAAAGATAGGAATGTGGCGATAGGGTCCATCCAACTCGGACCGGGTTCGATAACGTTGACCTGAACTGGTTCCAAAGAGGCAATGCTCGGCTTGGGGACAAAACCTACTTCAATTGTCCGCTTAATTTCTGAGTTGATAGCAGAGGCTAAGCAAGCCCGGGCATCTACATGCGTGTTCTGATCTCGGGTTATTTGATTCAGTTCGTGGTGATCAAATTTCGCGAGCAAAGAATTAGCCATTTTCATACAGGTTGCCATGCGGTCATTTTTGGCTGCATATTCCCTTTTCAACTGGTTAATTACTAGCTTTGAGTCGCAGAAAACAAGTAGATGCCACGCACCGAGGTGAAGTGCATTTCGCAAGCTGGTTAACAGTGCTTCATATTCGACCTCATTGTTTGATGCGTCGAATCCTAATTTGACGGCCTGTTCGATTATTGCCCCTTCAAGGGTTATGATTACTACGCCAGCCCCACTGCCACGCTGGTTGGATGACCCATCGCAATACATCTTCCAAACGTCGCCAACATACATTCTCCAGTCGGGCTTAGTTTGCACTTGATTAGACTTAAAGTCAGCTAGGGATCTTGTGAACTCAGCAACAAAGTCGGCAAGCACTTGCCCTTTGATAGAAGTTCTGGATAGAAACTAGATATCATATTGGCCGAGTTCAAGAGCCCATTTTGTGATGCGCCTAGACGCCTCCGCGCTGCGGGGCGCTGATCGGAAAGGATATTCCGTTGGCACCCCAATGGTATGCCCCTTAAAGGAGTGCATCAGTTTTCTTGCAGCCAAGACGAGAGCAAGGATAAGCTTTTCTAGTGGAAGGTAACGTGTCTCGGCGTCAGCCATAGCTTTGCTCACATAGTAAACTGGTCACTGCTCCCCTAGTTCTTCCTTTAACAATACGGCTCTGACCGTCCAGTCGGATACTGCCAGATACAAAATAAGTGGATCGCCGGCTGTAGGTGTTGTCAAGAGTGGAACTGATCGGAGGTAAGATTTCAAGACGTCCAAGGCGGCCTGGCACTCGGGAATCCAATCAAATGCTCTACATTGCCAAAGTGTGTGGAAGAATTGTTGACAACGATCTGTGAAACAGTTGATAAATCTGATAAGCGCGACGGCCATCCCCATTAGCTTCTGAACCTCTTTGACTGACAGAGGGGATCCAAGCTCTAGAATTGCCGTGCTCTAGCTTCGATTCTGCGGTGGTTAACGATGTAGCCAAGGAATTTGCCGAAGCTAATGTCGAATGCACATATAGAAGCGTTCAATTTCATCTTATACTTTCGAAGAAAGCCGAATGTCTCTGACAAATCGGCTAGATAGGAGTGCTTTTCCTTGGATTTGATCACCATATCGTCGATATATACTTCCATGGTATGTCCAAGCTGTTCCTTGAACATGGAAGTCACTAGTCTTTGATAAGTTGCTCCTGCATTGTTCAGCCCAAAAGGTATAACCTTGTAGCAATAGGTTCCTCTTGGGGTGAGGAATATGGTTTTTCTTGATCCTCCGGATGCATGGCAATTTGATGATAGCCTCTGTAGGCATCCAAGAAGCTCATGCATTGATGATGTGCCATTGCGTCTATGAGTTGGTCTATTCTAGGCAGGGGAAAATAGTCCTTGGGACAAGCTTTGTTCAAGTCCGTAAAATCCACACAGATACGCCAAGAGCCATTCTTTTTCTTTACGACCATAGTATTGGACAACCATGTAGGATAAGTTACTTCGCGAACCTCCTTGGTATCAAGTAACCTATCCACCTCTTCAACGACGGCTGAAGTATGCTCCATGGCGGACCGTCGGCTTTTTTGAACAATTGGCTTACATTTCGAATCAACGTTCAAGCGGTGTTGGGCCACTAATGGATCTACTCCTGTCATCTCATATGCGGACCATGCAAACACATCAATATTGCCAAGTATGAAGGCTACCAATTCCTGCCTTCGACGTTATCCAAATAAGCGCTGATCATGAAGAACTTGTCAGGATTTCCGTCAATTTCGACCCGAAGCAAGGTTTCGTTGTCTTTTCACTTAGGATCCTCCCAATGTCTTCGAGACTCTCCCTATCCGACACCTCAATTGAATGCACTTCTCGGTCTCTTTGTAGCTAGAAGATAGCATGCCTGTGCTAACTTCTGAGAGCTGCGAATTTGTTCAATACCGTATTCAGTCGAAAAACGAAGCAGTTGGTGGTAGGTGCTTGGCACGGCTTACATCGTATGTAACCAAGTTCTGCCCATGATCAGATTATACGGCGAAGGGAGCTTAACAACCAGAAACTCTACGCCTACTGATCTGGTTTCGGCCTGTACAGGTAGTGTGATCTTGGCCAAAGGGTACTCCGGGTTAGCATTGAAGCTCAATAACGGATAATCAACCGAAAATAAGTCCGAATCGGTAAAACCAAGTTTGAGAAAAGTTTTGTAATACATTATCTCCGAAGTGCTGCCCTGGTCAACGAGGACACACTCGATGGTGAATCTATTTACGCATAGCTCGATGACGAGGAGATCAATGCGGGGGTGGGTCACTTCAACTAAATCACTGTCATCGAAACTAATCCTTCTAATGTCGTGTGGCCGTTTCGCTGGCGTCATTGAGCTATGTGTGCTAAACAGCAACTGGATTGTGTGCACCTCAGGTGGTGCCGGCAAGCTGTATATCATATGGATTACACCAAGAGGAGGTGACTCCGGCCATAGAGCTACTGTATTTGTTAAATTATTTTTTCGGATGTATTGCGTAAGACGGCCGTCTTGCACCAATTCTTCCAGGTGATCTCTTAAAAAAAAACAACTATCAGTATCGTGACCACGGTCTTTATGATACTTACATTGTTTATCTTGTCTTCTCGCATCGGAGGGTCCCGTCATCTTGGGCGGCCACTTGAAGAACGAAAGGTGTTGTATTTTTGACAGAATCTTATTGATCGGCACTGTCAGCTCTGTGTATTTCTTGCCCGGATGCCTTGTGCGCCTGTTATCCACTTGGTATTGTTCATTAGCTCGTTGTGGACATTGGTCAGTTGATCGGCGTGAATCATGCCTTTTGTCTCGTTTGGGTCGATTCCGCCATTCGGGGCTTCTTGGAGGCATGGAGCTAATCGGCTGAATAACTCCCGACGTGGCCGTCTCAACGGCTTTACGTCCGGCTTTGATGTGAAGGGCATCATCTTCGACTTTGCAGTATTCTTCAACCTTCTTCATTAATGCCCAGACGGTTTTGGAGGAACGCCTGGTCAATGAACTGTAGAGGGGGCTTTCGGGATGCAATCCCATCTTATAGGCGGTGATGGCCATGGAATCATTGCAAGCATCATCAACCAGATTAAAGCATTCCCAACAGCGGGCTGAGTATTCATGAAGAGTTTCTTCCGGTTTAATTTGCATGGCCCAAAGAGAGTCAGCTTGCTTCGGCTGAACCTCATTGGTGATGAATCTTGCCTTGAATGACTTTTGGATTTGGTGGAAGCTCTTAATTGATGTTGGCTTTGGGTGTTTAAATATAGGGCTCAAGGCTTCATTTCCTCACACCCACAAGGCCGGAATAGCTCTGCCTCTCTTTCTAGGTACTTTCTCTCTCTAGATTTGTGCTTTACACACATTTTTCAACACCCCATGCAAACTTTTTTCGTAAAACCCTCTTGGTTCTCTACATTTTGAACCGATCAAATTTTGATTTCATCGCTTTTTGTTCATTTTCACCACTTTAGGCTTGTTCCCTCGAGTTTCTCTCAGCTTTCGTGAACTTTCTCGGGTTGACTTTTTCTTCTAATTTCTCTCTCCTAGGGTTGACTTTTTCCAAGTTTATCCTTTTTTCTCTATTTTTCTTCACTTTTCACCTACCTTTGACCCATTTTTCAAATGGCAGACGATATTCCTCATGACGGAGCCCCTCCCGAGGCCCAACCTATGCTTCTAGCCGTAGCTGAGGTAGAGGAGTCAACAATTGCGAAGGCCGGCGGGGCAGTTGAGAACATTGAGGCAAATCTTGAAGTGGAGTTTGTGCCAGAGCTTGAGCCAGATTCGTTACCATTAAGAGTGCGGCCCTTCAATCCGACGACATATCATCCCCGTGAGCACATATTACCACTTAGAGACACTAAGCATTTCAGTGATTTTACTTGCGGCGTACCAGAGGACCTTCTGCTAAGGGAGCTGACCTTTTACCTTTCTTCCAACACTACTGAGGTATGAACGAACTATGTTTTCATGCATTCCTGTCTTTCCTTTAACTGCATTTCTTGCACTACCTTTCACCTAATTGCACTTTCATCACTACCTTTCATCTGATTCATCTGTTCTTTGCCACAGGGAGTCTCCCATGCTTATAAGGGGTACGGAGCGACGACGGCAAGGGATTTGTACGATGAGCTCCTTGCCAGGGTCCGTGACATCGTCGATGAGGCTGGCTTCGGCCTTTTTTGCTCTGGACTGACACATATCATAGCGAGCTGCCCCCTTCTAGGAGCACTAGTGGAGACGTGTTGGGACACCACTAACTCCTTCAATCTCTCTACCGCCAGGGAGATAACGATGACTCCCTATGACTTTGCCATGATCACAGGCTTAGGAGTAGGGGATGATCCGATCCTTTTTAACACAGACATGGGGAAGTAGAAGGCTGCTTGGATCGACTTGTTAGGAATGCGCCCACCTCTGTACTGGCCAGCTATGGTGAGATACAGTTGGTTTGCCGAGCAGTTCTGCAGGAGCGAGCTCGAGACACTAGAGGAGATGGAGCAGTATGCCGGGGCTTCCTAATGTTTGTCCTCAATACCACCTTGATTTCGAACAGGTAGAACACCATGGATTTATATCTATTGAGCGCCCTGGTTACCCTTCCCCGAGTGCCTTCTACGACTGGGGCGGAGCTGGTCTCGCCACCCTTTACAGCTATATGAGCTTTACCTCACGCCTGAGGAGAGAGCGGATCGGAGGCTACTGGCGAGCCTAAAAGGTATGCATTTCAGTTCCCTCTTTGCACTGATACTTTCTACTTCACATTTTCTACTTTATATATGTTCAGCACCTGTGCTTTCTGTGCTTTCTACTTTGCACTTTCTATATCTGTTTATGCTCCAGGCTTTCTACTTTGCACTTTTTGCATTTGTTCATAGCCTATGCTTTTTGTTTTGCACTTTTTGCATCTGTTCATGCTCTATTGATCACATATCACTGCATTTTTCTTGCAGTTATGGGTTTATGCATATTTTCCAGTCCTTACTTCAGAGCCTATGGAGAAGCTCCCCTGGTGGTTCCCTACTCAAGACGATACGATGGTCTGTGTCAACGCCGGAGTCGTGAGACTTTTGCATTCTTTTGCCATTACTCTGACACAGTGGTCGCCGCTAAGGTAACCCGAAACTCAGTCATTTTTGCTTTACCATTATTTTGATTCACACTTTAGCAACTAACAGCAACTAACAATCTGTACATTCCCTGTTTGCAAATCGCGTAGCAACCCCGGGCCATGATGCCGACCGGGGTTAGAGATCAGTACGCGAGAGCTTGGGGCACATCGCGCTTCCATATTCTACTAGAGGGCCCAGTCTGCTAGGCCTTGTTTTTGAGCAATAGATTCGTTTGCTAGACTATGGGCCTGCCTAATCCAGTCATTCTAATGCCACCCCCGGCATCTATGAGGACAGCAGATAGCCTATCAGTTGATGCAGTCATTCAGTTCATGGTAGGCCTAGACACTAATTTTTTCAGAGACGAGGGCGATTACTCGACATTTATTCAGATCCACCTTATGCCTTCTTTGACAGGCGCTCGTGCAGCGAAGGAACAGGGGATCTTATGGCAGGCGAGGCAACTCGGGCGACAAGGGCCCATACTAACGGGCTCCCCCTGTTGAGCAAACTATTCATTGACCAGAGCTGCCTACCGCACTCACGTGTTGGCGGCCGATTGGGATTGCTTATCAAATTCTGATTGAGAAAGTCGAGACAGGGCACGAGTTTGTTGGAGTTCGAGGCACATCTCAAGTATAGACCACACTTTACGACTTGCGCCCCACATTTCCATTTCAGATATATTTATTCTATGCATTGATCATCCAAATGCACTTGCAGGCATCTATAGAGTATACAGGTAGCCTCCTCGAACTGGTGGCTTCTCTGATGGATATGGTGTAGAAGAGGGAGATGCTGCTCGGGTGATCTGCCAGGAACTCCGCTGCAGTTCTTTCCTTGACTGACTTGCGGGTGACATATTTGAGATCAAATTCGGAGAGGAGAAGCAACTAACGAGCTAGCATACCCATAAGCACTGGTTTCTCAAAGAGATCCACATTATTCAGGTATTTCCCCCATTTCAGCAGGCATTTCATTACTAATTCTGTTTAAGCTTCATGCTATCATCTTTATACTGATACACTGGTATTTCAACTGTAGTCTTTCGCAAACTGCACTGATACACTGCATTGGCATACTGTACTAATACATTGTATTGGCACACTGTACTCACACACCGTACTCATACTGTATCCGATTTCTGCATGACACTTATTCTGCATACTATGCCTATATCTTGATACACACATTGTAGCTGATATGTTGACAACTGTTTTTTCTAGATTCCATCTACACCAATGGCACTAGTGGCAGCACCACCACCAGTATCAGCAGCACCTCCTCCAGCAGTAGGGAGAAGAGAGAGACAGGCCCCAACTTGTGGGCGAGATGTAAATTGTGGTCGAGGTAGAGATAGGGGCACCCGAGGCCAGAGTAGTTCTTTAGGGCCTATTTTGAGTGATGACGATGCTGAGACTGGTGACTCCGAGGAGGCAGTGAGTCAGCATTCTGAGTCATCCGAGAGTGGAGATGATGCTAGTTCGGGGTCCGAGAGCGGAGGTGACACCGAAGAGGGTTCTGAGGCAGAGAGTAGAGATGATACCAGCTCCAGTTTAGAGTCTAATTCTAATAGCGGTGCCGATGGAGGTAGTGCTTTCGAGTCCTCTCTGAGGAAGAGGATGAAGAGGGCCTTTCGAGCCTAACATGACCAGCGTTGATGTTTTTGTACTTTTTGCCTAGTTTCTTTTTTGTTTGGTAGCATTAGCACATGTATAGCTTCAAATAGATTTTATTTTTCTTTTAAAAACTTGTACTCCTCTTTTGTAAAAAAACCATGATCAGAATAAAACATCGCAGTTTTTATGAAATATGTTGTTATTTTTGCATCGTGAGCACCATATTTGCATGAAAATCAATCAAATTTGCAAATGAATACTGAACACTTGTATTGGCACGATGTTCTTAATCGCATAATAAGCCGACCAACAACCAAAATACAAAGTACAAAATATAACCAAAAGACTCAAAAGAAGACCTCGAAATGCAAAGATTGAGGCAAAACACATGCTACCAACACTGCCCAGCACATAGGTGGATGGCAGGCCAGAGATGGGAACTGCCGGCCACCAATGGGAGGCTGTCGGCCAGAGGAGGTGGCCTGCCGGCCATAAGGGGGTGGCCGTGAGAGGAACCTCCAGATTGTTGACAGCTGGCTTCCACTCACAGCCTTATCTTCTACAAAAGGTTCTGCTTCGTGGTTTCTTCTCCAAAACCTCATTTTAGCTGCAATTTCTTCTACAAATGGAGATATTCTCTGTCGAGAAGCTCACAGATTGGAAAACTGCTTTAGACGGCATGGAAAAGGTAAATTTCTAGGGTTTTGGCATAAATACACTTTTTTTGTTGAGCTGAACTCCACTTTGTTTTCCATTTCTCCATGCCACGGCCTGATGTTAGGACCCAATTACACACGTCTTTTGCTTCGAAGCACAAGAAATGTACCCAACACTTGAAGAATTCCAGGTATTGATGGAAACCCGACGTGATGAGGAAATCAGGCCTCAGCCCCATTTTGGCCACACCCAAGCTTTGGGACAGATGTGTGGGCTTACTTTGCACGAGGCTCGATCTTTGGCCCGCAACAGAGAGCTAACCGTACCAAGCTTGATTCATTGATTTTTCGACATCGGTGACAAAGGCAACCTTCTCTGGTGAGGTTTTCGATAACATGCACTTTGCTTATGTATGCTTGCACATTTCCTTCTTGCCCCTAATTTCGACAGATCCAGCATTCGGTTGATTGAAGTGACCCAAGGTTTGAAAGAAAGCAAGAGTTGCATTGGTTTGGCACTGGCCGAGACCTTGATAGGCTTAGATGTCTTTTATCGGCGAGAGACAACTAGGTTTGCGAGGAGTCCACTAATTCTTCAGTTTTGTTTCCCGCCCTTTCTCATATGTGTTTCTCATATCACTCGGCACCCA